TAATAGATTGTATGTATGTAGATGAAATGTAGATGTATGTAGATGATAATAGATTGTATGCATGTATATGAAATGTAGATGTATGTAGATAATAGACTGTATGTACGTAGATGATTTGTAGATGTAGATAATCACAAACACAAATGGACAGAATAGACATCACTTCAAAGTTGACAAGACTATCCCTTTAAGATAAAATTCATCTTCTTATGTTCTTGTTATAATAGTCTAAATTCAAGATGTAAAAAAAAGGTTTGCCTGAGCACTCAAAGAAAACGAGCAGCCATTCACATTTTTTATCTCTGCATAAGCAGTTTTGTCTCTTTAGTCCCATTCAATCTTCCCATAGAGATGTGATATAATTGTTTTCCAGTTCATTGGTCCTGAACTCAGAGCAGCCAGTTACAGAGAGACAACAGTGGAGCACAAAAGGACAACATGTCTGCATCTATTTTAGACGACTGGAAGGAAAACATCCAGTAACAAAAACCATAGAAAACAATCTTCTGAGTGAGTTGGTTTCTAAAAATAAGATCAGAACGAGTTCATCTGGCCAGATTCTTTTGTTTGTTCTGATGTTGATAAGCACAAATATTGTTTTTCTATTTTTGTCAGAATGCAAAACAGTAAATCTGTGGGGGAAAACTAAAGTCAAATGAGCTTTCCTTTCACTAAAATAAAAATACTGCAATTGTTGAGGGCCTGTAGTTCTTCAAGATTTAAATATAAATTTGAATTAAAAGCCTAGCATTCCTTGAAGGAATGATTATCACCAGCTGCCATTTATGTCTGAGATTTAACTTAAATCGTATGATGAGATATTTTGGTCAAAACAACTTTACAAATGATTTTATTTGATATTGTGAGTTATGTCGGTGTGGCGAGAATGTGTTGAGGATAATGCTCAGCTACTATCACACCATGTTCATCCAATGATTACTTGCTGAGCGTTTTATTAAAATTAAAACCCACCCACTGGTTCATGGGACATTTTGGTAAAACTAGAGACAAACACACAAGTAAAAGCTTTGCCCTCTCCTACTGAAGGCGAGAGGCAATAAAGATAAATACAGTGTGAATAAGCCACAGTAATGAGAATGTAACAGTCACATGCACCGAGTTTATTACTCTTCCACCTCAATAACGAAGCCTAATCAACTTAGTCGTGACCTAAACAATTAACTAAATGTGAGTCTTTTACAGACAGGGAGATGTGTGTTTAGTAGTAGGCTG